TTTTATGCTATCATTTAATGTGTTTGAAAGACTGTTAGCTGTTCAAACTTCTGAAGTCACAAGTCTGTTTGGTTTTAGGATTCAGGGAATTATGTAGAAGTAAAAACTTATATATGGCTTTATACCCTGTTACTGAGACCTTTTGAATTCTTGTATGATATTTTTTCGGTTTTGCTAGCTTTCAAAGATTTAAGAAATCAGAAAATTCTTCAAAAAAATTCTAAACAAAAGTTATACAAGCATTACCTCAAATGGAGTATAAATGCTATATTGGAAAAAAGAGGTTCAAAAGTTTTTGAAATTCAAGTTTATATATAATATTTTAAAAATCCAGTTGTAGAAAAAAATGAGATTAATAAAATTTCCCAAAAAATAAGATACAAAATATGAAAATGAGACTTGCTTAATAGTAACACTCTGAATTTCCAATTTTAGGTAATGGAATATGAGAATAGGATTCGAGCATATTCCACACCAGACAAAATCTTCCGATATTTTGCCACCTTGAAAGTGATCAGTGAGCATGGTGAATCTGAAGTGTTTATGACGCCAGAAGATTTTGTGCGATCCATAACACCCAATGAAAAACAACCAGAACGTAAGCTGCTAAAGTGAAAAATAATATGCGATATTTATTTGTTATATGCTGCTTTGTTTCTGTGTATTGCTTAAACTGTATAAGTTGATGCAATAAATATATTCATTTGTGTAGCTACTGACTGTCAGGTATTATGATAGACCTTAGGAGTACAGAAAAGGAGCCTACAGTCTAATGTGGCAATCCGCAACCAGGATGAAGGATTAAGGAGATTGTATTCCTATGGCTGAGAGATCCATTTCCTGTAATGCGAATGTTCCTGAAGGCAGTAATTACATGTACCGTATTTTGCCATGTATAATGTGCACGTTTTTACGCCAATTTGTGAGGGAAAAATAAGGATGCTCATTATACATGGGTAGTACTAATTCTGTATCTATATAAATGTTTTTAATTATTTTATTTATGCTTATGAATTAAAAGTGTAACTCTAGAAATCAGTAACGATATCTGTATGCAAAATAATACCCTAGAATACAATAATTGCTTTTGTTGAGCTTACAATGAATTTGCAATGACAGAGTTCTTGGCCTTCTATGATCTGTAAATAGCGTAAATTTGTTTATGCCGGTACATAAAATTTCGTGTACCTTGTATCTGTTCTTGTGTTTTGTAATTATTTGTTACGTAAAATTTCTTTTACCGTAATATGTTAAAAAAAATAAATGCTAAAATTCCTTTATAACACAAAAAACAAGTACCTATAAACAAATAAAAACTTGAATTAAAAAATTAAAACGAAAGATTTTTTCCCCCTGAAAGTTTGGGCCAAAAACGTGGGTGTGCATTATACACAGGTGCATATTATACATGGCAAAATATGGCAACTGCCATCAAGTTATTCTTTAGTGAGGGAGACAGAGACAGTAACAGGTAATTTCAGGAATGTAGTGATTTGTTAAAGAACGAAGGTGCTGTGCTAATATAAAGAAAAGACACTTAGCTAAATCTGAAAGTTTGGAGATGGTTTCTAGAGAATACGTCTAAGTTTGGATAAAGGCAGACAAAGAATAGTGGAAAGGATTTCTTATGTAGAGGAAACAGCCTGAACAAATGAGGTGTGAGGAAAGTATATAAATGGTTTAATATTGTAAGTTAAAATGTAACAACTTACAAATGTATATAGGAGACACAGTGGAGAAAATGACAGAGTAGCGAGCTCCAAGAATTAATCCTTCCACTGAAGCAACCATTAAGCTGCCAAAAATGGAGAGAAGCAACTTTTTTTGGAACTCTTAGAATCTAATTTAAAAAAAAAACAGCAACCAGGGAGTGCTAATGGAGAAAGAGGCTGCTAAATTTTGGCACGAAAACGTTGTGGCCTTTTGCTTACCTGCCTGTATTTCCCAGCTCAGCAGCAGCCTTGGGGATGGCAGCGTATGTTCCTAGTGTGGCTTACTGATGATGAGGAGTTGGTAGAGGGTCAATACAGACTTTGTTCTCCAAAAAGTATGGTTGTACATTGTGACTCATGTGGCAGTTCCCTGAGGGACAAGCACAAAGACTTGCCCTATTTTTACCCACCTCAAGCTGTAGTGGCTTCCCAGGTGTCATCTACTGAAAAAATTTAAAGGCATATACTACCCATAGCTACTGGACAAAGAGAGGGCAGATGGGACAAGCAGCAGACAGACTGAAAACCCTAGGAAGGAGGAAGCTGAGGAAGAAGGCATTCCAGGAAATCAGAGCTTTGAAGGGCTACTGCATTTACATGGGTATCCAGAGTACAGTGTGCATGCTCAGGGCCAAACACTGGTTTAGAGAGGACTTGAGTGGGCTTGTACCTTTTAGTGATCTTTGTGCTCCATACAAGAAAGAGGTGAGCGTTAAAGTAGAGTTGTAAGAGGCCTAACTAAATATCAAACTAAGGCCCCAGCTCAGAGCCAGTCTGCACACATTAGGAGAGTTGGGGTTTTTCGTTTTGTTTTCATTCTTTTTGCCTCTAGCATTTAAGGAAATTTCTATCAGGTCATTTGCTAACTGCTTAGATAATAGAACAGAAACTTCAATGATGACATATGACAAGGAATACAATATTTGCAAAAACAGTTTGGAAAAATCACTAAACAAAGTGATGACTGTAGTCCACAACAAGTTACAACACCAAATCCTAGGAAGCAGGACAAATTTTATTTCTATAAAATTTTACTGTATAATATTTAAAATGTCCAATTTCCTTTTGCACTTGGCTTTTCAATTTTCCCACCACCATTTATTGAAGAGGCTTACTTTTCTCCTAAAATGCTGTTCTGTCACCATATACCAAAATTAATTCAAAATGGATCAAAGACCTAAACATAAAACCTGAAACAATAAACTGCATAGAAAAAACCGTAGGTACTAAACTAATGAACCTTGGGTTCAGAGAGGATTTTATGAATTTGACCTTTAAGGCAAGGGAAGTAAAAGCAAAAATAAATGAATGGGACAATATCAAACTAAAAAGCTTCTGCACAGCAAAAGGAACCATAGACAAAATAAAGAGGCAGCCAACCGAATGGGACAAGATATTTGCGAACAACACCTCCAATAAGGGGCTAATATCCAAAAATATGAAGAATGCATACAACTGAAAAAAAATCCAATTAAAAAATGGACAGAGGGCCTCAACAGACACTTTTCCCAAGGAGACATACAAATGCCAACAGATATATAAGAAGATGCTCAACTTCACTAGCTATTAGAGAAGTGCAAATCAAATCCCAGTGAGATACCACCTCACAACCTGTTGGAATGGCTACTGTCAACAAGACAAGGAATAACAAGTGTTGAAGAGGTTGTGGAGAAAAAGGAATCCTTATACATTGCTGTTGGGAAAGTAAATTGGTACAGCCACTTTGGAAAATAGTATGGTGGCTCCTCAAAAAAATTAAGAATGAAATTACCATACAACCCGGCAATTCCTTTTCTGGGTATCTACCCCCAAAATCTGAAAACGTTTATCAGAAAACGTGAAGATATATGTACCCCTATGTTCACTGCAGCATTATTCACAGTGGCCAAGACATGGAAACAACCAAAGTTTTTTTCGATAGATGATTGGATAAAAAAGATGTGGTACATAAATACAATGGAATATTAATCATCCATAAGAAAAGATGAAATACTGCCATTTGCAACATGTATGGTTTTTGTGATTATCATGCTAAGCAAAATAAGTCAGACAGAAAAAGTCAAAAACGAAATTATTTCATTCATATGTAAGATATAAAACTGAAAGTAACAAATGAACAAGAGAAACAAAGAAACAAAATCACATAGACACAGACAACAGTTCAGTGGTTACCAGAGGGTAAGGGGACGGGAAGGGTAAAAGAGGGTAAAGGAGGTCAAATATATGGTGATGGTTGGATAACTGACTGGGCGGTGAACATACAATGCAATAGATAGATGATGTGTTATAGAATTGTACACTTGAATCTATCTCATTTTACTAACAACGCCATCCCGAAAAATTTAATTAAAAAGTTTTAAATGTCCAGTTTTCAATTAAAAAATTGCATGCCTGGCATACCAGTAATTAGGAATGTATGACCCATTAACAGAAAAATAAATAAATAAACAGAAACCATCCCTGAGGAAGCCTAGGCAGTGCACTTACTTTAAATCACCTATCTTAAATATGCTCAAAGAGCTATAGGAAACCATGGACAAAGAACTGCAGGAAACAAGAAGATCATGTGTTAATAAAAAGAGAATATCCAGGGCCATCCCTAGTGGAGAGTGGTGCATTGGTTAGGACTTGGCTTGGGACGCCAGCTCTGAGCAGCAGGGCCCCGGTTCGGATCCCACATGAGGGCCAGTGATGCTGCGTCCTCTACAGCTAAGATGGTGAACAACAGCTCAACCTGGAACTGGGCTGCCGTGAGTCGCTGGTGACGGCGTAGGCTGCAGTGGGGCTGGCGGGCAGCTGGTGTGAGCTTTCAGGAGCTGGCATGTGCCACCGTGAGCGGCCCTCCAATGGCTACCTCACCTGGGAAGAGCGCAATGATAATACCAACATGGGCCAGTGAAGCGACGTCCTCCACAACTAGACTGAAGAACAGAAGGACAGCAACTTGTCTGTTCCCCTTCCCCAATTCCCCAACGCTGTGCCTCTTCCCCAATTCCCCAATAAAATCTTTAAAAAAAAAGAGACTATCCATAAATAAATAGAAATTATAAAAAGCAACCAAGTAGAGAAATTCTTTAGCTGAAAAGTACAGTAGCTGAAATAAAAAATTTACTAGAAAAGTACAACATCAAATTTGAGCTAGGAGATAAAAGAATCAGAGAACTTGAAGATAGGTCAATTAATATTGTCAAGTCTGAGGAGCAAAAAGCAAAATAAATGAATAAAAATGAACAGAGCCTAAGATCTTGTGGGATATCACCAAGTATACCAACATATGCATAATGGGAGTCCCAGAAGGAGAAATTAAGACCTTTCCAGATGATTTAAATCTGAGGCAGTTTGTCACTAATAGACCTTCCCTACAAGAAATGCCAAAAGCAGTCTTTCAAGCTGAAATGAAAGGATATTAGACAGTAACTCAAAGTCATATAAAGAAATTAAAAAATAATGAAGAGTAGGAAAGGTAACCACACAGGGTACCATAAAAGCTAGTACTGTTTTATTTTTGGTTTGTAACTTCTTTCTGTTTTCTATAATGTTAAAAGACAGATTCATAAAACAATTATAAGTGTGTTAATGTTGATTCAAACTAGATTATTATCAATTTAAGAGGCTAATTGTAATTCCCCAGGTTAACCACTAAGGAAATAACTGAAAAATATTTTTAAAAAGGAAATGAGAAGTGAATAGAAATGGTACCCTAGAAAAAATCAACCAAACATAAAAGAGGTCTAGATTGGAGGAATCAAGGAACAAAAAAAGTTATGATATATAGACAACAGCAATATAACAGAAGCAAGTCCTTTTTTTTTAATCAATAATCACTTTAAATGTAAATGGATTAAACTCACCACTTAAAAGACAGAGATTGACAGTTGAAAAACTATATACTATCTACAGGAGATTCACTTGTGATCCAAAGGTACAATAGGTTGAAAGAGAAAGGATACAAATAGTAACCAAAAGAGAGCTGAGGTAACTATACTAGTAACAGACAAAACAGATTGTAAGTAAGAAATTGTTACAAGAGACAAAGAAGGACTAATATTTTGTATTAATAAAAGAGTCAATTCATCAAGAAGACATAACAATGATAAAATACGCACACCAAATGACAGACTTAAAAATATATGAAGGAAACATTGACAGGAGAAATTGAAGGGAGAAATCATTCTATAATAATTGGAGACTTCAATACCCCCATTTCAATAATGAATAGAACATCTAGACATAAGATTAATAAAAAATAGAGAACTTAACACTATAAAGCAACTAGACCTAATAGACATTCACAAAACACTCCACTCAAGAGCAGCTGAATATACATTCTTCTCAAGTATACATCAAACATTCTCCTGAATAGACCAGATAGACCACATGTTAGGCTACAAAACAAATCTTAATAAATTTTAAAAGATGAAAATCATGCAGAGTATCTTTTTGATAGCTATAAAATGAACCTATCCATCAATATCAGAAGGAAAACTAGAAAAATAGTAAATAGTAAATAAAAAACCAGTGGCTCAAAGAAGAAATCACAAGATAATTTAGAAAATACTTTGAGATGAATGATAAGGAAACCAGAACTTACCAAAACTTATGTGATACTGCAAAAGCAGTGCTCTAAAGAAAACAGCTGTTAAAGCACATAAATGAAATGGAAAATCGAAAAACAATAGAATCAATGAAACAAAAAGTTGGTTCTTTAAAAAGATCAACAAAATAGAGAAACCTTTATCTAGACTGATTAAGAACAAAAAAGGGAAGAAGCAAATAGCTAAAATCAGAAGTGAAAGTAGGGACATTATTACCTACTTCACAGAAATAAAAAGGATTATGAGAGAATACTATGAACAATTGTATACCAACAAATTGGATTACCTAGATGAAATGGACAGATTCCTAGAAACACAGACTACCAGAAGTGAAAAAGAATTCTTAAAACTCAACAAAAAGACAAACAACCCAATTAACAAATAGGCAAAACACACGAATAAAGAGTTCGCCAAATAAAATATACAAATGGCCAATAAGCACATGAAAAGATGAAAAGAAGCATGTTCTACCTTTATGACTGTGAGATCTTACTTGTTTTTAAAATTTTCTAGTTTCCTGACGAAACTCTTTCTTTTGCAGTCATTGGTTCCTTTGTTCAGGGCAGGCTTCTAGACGGTGAAGCACATTTTAGATGAGAACGTGTAACCAAATACGTAGAAGCAGAAATGCAAAAAGCTTCCTCTGTGAGTGATGATAATTTGATCATTGTAATACTGTGGGCATAGTAAGATAAGGGCCTGAACTAGCACGAATACAGTGAGAACTGAAAAAAAAGAACTGAGTAATTATACAAGAAAAATAAGTATAATTGAGAACTGATTTCCCCACTCTAAAAACTCCCACATCACCCTCTTATTGAACTAATTGTATGCTCCCTTGTAATATTTATTATATGCATATGTCTTCCTAACTATGACTCTTCAAGGCAGGGATTGTATTTTATTCGTTTTTTAATAGACATTTATTGATCAAGCACTATTCCAAGTGCTGAGATAAAGCAATGGGCAAAGACAAAGAATCAGTGCCCTCAAGGGAACTTAATATATTTACTTACATCTTTCACAGTGCTTAGAATTCGATGCTAGGTTTTCCCAGGGTAAATATTTATTCTTTAACCCAATTTTAAAAGGTAATTATTAAGATAGTCTAGTTGTATCTATTAGAGTATGTTGCAAAAAATATTTTTATATTAAACTCTTCTCTCTTGAACTTGATACAAAAAAATTATGTATTCAAATTAAACTAATATCTCGCCTTATTTAGAGGTAGGTAATTAGTACCCTGATGGAATGAAAAAAGCACCATCCCAGGAAGAGTCTAGGGTTTTATTTTGGCTCTACTGTTGAATAGGTTTGCATATAAACTTTTACCCTTTTTATCCTCTCAGAACCTCACTTCTCATATGTAAAATAAAAGGTTGGTATCTTTTAGAACTGATACTTTGTGTCTGAAAGTAGGACAAGATTTTTCATTCCTCTGAATAATGGTGTGACTAAACCATCTTGTACATTTAATTGAATGATTGGAAACAAAACTGAGAGCTGTCATTTCATGTTTCATTTGAGTTATAATCAGTGACTAAACATTGAGGGGTTTTTTTTCCTGTTTTACAGACTTGGGCCTGGATCAATATATAATAAAACGCTTTGATGGAAAGGTGAGCGAACTATGACACTGAAGTATATATCCTGTTTACCAAGAAGATTTTAAAATTCCTCTAGAATTATTTGTAAGAGGTTTCTGAATACCTGTTTATTTCTGAATACCTATTTATCAAAAAAGTGTTGCTTAGGTTGGTAGGCCTGTAAGCACCTTCAGATGCTTCTACAGAAAAGAATCAAGCGGGACCTTCTGCTTGATTCTTGTATTTTTCCGTGCAAGGGAATACTCATGGGTTGCCTGCTGCTTATATTAAGGGGGCTAATTCAGCGTATGGTGACATTTGAGTTTTAATTCAAAAGCCATCATAAAAGTTAACAAGCCCCCCCCCCATATTATTGGGTTGTCGGAAAAGTCATGACACATTTTTGCAACGGAAAACATAGAAAAAATACGTCATGACATTTCCGACAACCCAATACATTTCTTATATATATAAAAAAAAACACCTCTGATTCAAACTTTGATTGTATATAGCAGTAATCTTATCTAAAAAATTACGGAAATCCTTACTAGTATTTTTATAATAATTATGAAGACCACCCCAAAATTTACATACAAGTTTGTATTATACTTACTTTCAATTCTTTATTTTATGCCTGAATAAATCATATAATATATCATAAGTATAGAAAACCAAGCTTTCAATTTTATTATCTCAAAAGCAGTTAGTTAAACATGTTTTTCCCTTTCAGGCCAAATTCTCCAAAAAGAGAAAGAACATATTACACAGGGTCAAAAAGAAAAGTAAAAGGTCAATTTTAAAGAGGAGGAAGAAAGAAGAGCGAGCTAGGAATGGCTCTACAAAGCCTAAAGTGAAGGAAATCAGGAGGAAAATCATGAAGTGGCTGGAAAAGGCAGGATCACAAGAGGGTCTGACGGGTTGAGGTCAGGGTTAGAAGAAACTGACCTCGCAGGAATGTGTCAGCCCTGCATTGTCATGTAAACTCCATATACTGGTGAGGTGAACATACAGGCAGTAAGGTCTTGTGCACAATTGAAAAGAATGAGTGACTGTCTTAAGAGTTGAGAGATCTCCGCCAAGTCTTCTGGCCTAAAAACTCCCTTTCCCATTCAGGTGGCCCAGTGCCTCCATCTGTGGGTATCTTCTTTTTAAAGTCACATATTTTAAAAGAAACAGTGATCAAAAAGAAAAGGCATTGAACTTGACATTAAGAGACCTAGGTTCAGAATCCTGGCTCTGCGTTGGGATAGCCACATCTTCCCTCTGACCCTTGGTGCCTGCTTTATGTATGGTAAAGTACCATCTCCATGTTAGGGGTTACTTGCAGACTCTGATGTCAGCGTCTGATTTCAGAGTCTCTGGCAGGTCAGGCCCCTGTCTTATCTGTTTTTGTGTCACTCAGAACCCAGCATATGCCTGGCACACAGGAGGTGACCAGTAAATGTTTGATGACTTGGAAAAAGTCAACTAGTCAATCACATATTCCTTAGAAGTGTGACTCACTAAGTCAGTAACATAGCAAAATCAATTTAACAGATCACTTTTTTTGGTCACTGAAAGAAATCCAGAATAGCATGGAAATTCAGTCGTCTATTGTTGTACATACATAAACCTGAGAACATAGAGAAGTTGAATATGTACAAGTTGAAAAGCTAATTCATGTGTTATGAGAGGAATTTCCATTTTTAGAGATCTCCCAAATACAAAATCCCTAATGGTAACTCATTTTTCATACATGTTCTTTAATTTTTTCCTGTTTTGGCCAGTAACTATACACCCAATGCTAAAAATTTGCAGCTTTTAGCAAGATTGATGAGCTCCTCCTTTGTTTCAGTTGTATTAAATGTATGAGCTCTACATTTCTAATCATTGGTGTCATTTGCATTTTTCTGATACACACTTATTTTTATAAAATAACGAGTAAAATGCACTATGCGTAAAAGTATTTGAGTGCCCACCTTGCTGTGGAGATATATAAAATGGCAGTGCTTTTGTCTTTATAGCCAGACTTAACAGACGATAAATTGCAAATATTTGTGCACTAAAGCATTAAATTCTTAAATCAGAGTAGGGAAGGCAAGATTGAGGTACATCAATGTATAATATTTGAAAGTATGATTTGTATGAAAGAGAGTAACAGAATGGGAGACTCATAAGGAGGCGTAGAATTGAGCCAGTGACCCTGAGCTAGCCAGCTTTTCCCCTAGCAAAAGTGCACATGGATTTCTCTTTCATTCACTCTATGATATGCATATTTAATACCTTTATTTAGATTCTATTTTCATTTCTATCAAATATATTCTTAAGGTCTTATTTTGGAGAGAAGGTTATATTTCTTAAATAGGATTTTTAAACTGAGTTCCCCTCTAGTGTATGTCTTTATGAATTGTCTTTTATTTCATATGGAGTTTAAGAAAGTAGTTTTGATATGATTTTTAAGCCTTAATTTAATGAAGAGTGCAAAATGCATTGTGTTTAATCAGTTTAGAAGTTTTCCATGGATTTTTGCCATGTATGAAATCCTTCATTGGATAACTATAAGGATCAATTTTTATTCAACTATAGATCTTATTATTTTCCTTTGGATCTTCATGACTCTTTTGTTCTCTCAATCTAGTTCTTAAGTAGTGGTTTCTAGAGTATATAAATCCTAAAACAATTACTGAATTGTTGGGGAAAAAACAGATTTGTGTGGTAATTATAGTAAATTTTATACATGATGGCCAGAAACATAGTAGAAACCTAGCACCCTAGAGGAATTTTCTTTTAAACTTACTTTGATTTTCAAATGGGAAATTTTCTCTCTCTCTTTTTTAACTTAGAAGATAAGGTAGTTATGAACTGCTTAGAAAGACACATTGACCCCTATCCTGTTATCCCCCATTGTTTTAACTTTTAAACACACCATTCAATAAAGTCCATCATTTCTACCAATAAGAAACACTAGCTTATTTTATTGCCTTCTAATTGAGTTGCACTTTAGCCTTTCTGTCATTGATAGCAAGAACAAATGTAGAAATAGTATCATTTTCATGGCATGTTTTTTCATTTATACTTGAATTTCATACAACCTCCAGAAGCGAAGTAGAAAAGAATGGCCCAACTCTTATTGACAAATAATTGGATAGTTATTTCTTACTTTGATACCTATCATCTTTTCTCCTATTCTGTTTGACTAGAAAATTGCCTGAAGAAGTAAACGAAACATTTCTGTTTCAACTGATAGTCAATGAATCTGAATTTGATTAAGCGGCTTTTGAATTTTGGGGAGCATCTTTTTCCAGAGCCCATCACTACCTTATGTTAATGTACCCTTACTCTAAGGATACTAGCAATTTCCTTTGTACAGTCATGAAATACATTATTATTGGCATTTGTATAATTTATGCATTTCAAAACTACTAACACAGGCAATGTATAAAGAAGCTATAGTCAATGGCCTTTGGTATTAAGAATATATTTTGTAGATAAATTATATTTTTAAAAATACTCAGATTAGGTTTAAAAGTTTAAAAACCTCAGAGCTTTAAAGAGTTAAGATTTTTCTCTTAGAGGATATTGGAAAATCATTATAAATAGTATATTAACATTATTATACAGATGGTAATATGAAATATGTTCTGGCTTTTGTTTTAGTGTAATATGTCATAGATTTTTTAAAAAAAACCTCCCCCTGCAACGTTCATGCTTTCTTTTTTATGATTTGTTAATGCAGTTATTTCATGAATTTTGGATTAATTCTTTAATGAAAACTATATTTTTTCTGGGTTTAATTTTTTTGTCATCTAATTGGTCCATGAAACAAAGCATAATTTCTAAATATAGCCTTTATATTACATAATCTTCAAATATTTCTTTCATTAAATCATTTTAGTTGCTGTCTTTTATTGGTATGGTTTATACCCTTCATTTTCCCATTTCTCTTTCCCCCCTTTTTTTTCCTCAGCATACCAAGGATAGAAATTATGTTTTGTATTTTCTGTTTCTAGTGTGTGTAGTAGACAACTTTCTCCAGTTCAAATGCCACCATAGTTGTTTTAAAGTTACAGTAGAAAATTTCATGATCTAGGTAAAATTGCTTCTTAAGCAAAGAATAACAATATTCCAGAGTTTTTGTGTAATCCTCTTCTCTTCTAAAAACTTTAAAGTTTATGCTCTTTATTCTGGTAACAAAGAATTGCCCATTGAAACTAATTGTCCGTTATAATCATTCCAGCATGTATTTATATTTCAGAAAATGGATTTTTTTTATTCTTTCTTTCTTATCAAGTTCCCTTTTCCCCCAACCTCTCCTAGACATTTCAGAAATGATGCCTCCGGATTGAGTTTTTTCATTATTTGTAATTATAGTTCTCTTAGAGGCTCTCCAGTTTGGAAGAAAGAATTACTGTGTGTTTTATTTTCATCTCCTTTATAATACATACCAGAATATTTATTCGCATGGAACAGAAAAACACTTTATATCAAATTAAAATGAAAATTGTTCACATTCAGGCAAAAGAAGTAAAAGTATGGTTAAAGCCTAGAAAGGGAAGTACTGATTACAGTGTTTATAACAGAAAAGATGATCTGCAGGAAAAAGGATGGGAGCCATAGTTAAAGATCAAAGTTTTAATATAACTAAATGCTCTTAATTGCTAGCTAGTGCTCCGTTCAAGTTGTGATTATTTACTTCATATCACAGGTAAAATATAAGTCTGGAATAAGGTCAAGTATAATATTACCCCTTGACATATATAGTAAATTAGTTATATAAGGGATTTTCTGTCTTCTAAGAGTGAAATGTATTGCAAATCAAGGAAATGTAAATTAGGAGCGAGGGGACTAAAATATTCATGGGACAGAATTTGATGAATCTTTGCATTTATTTGAACTGCTTTAATTCTGCTCAAATTTATACAGCAGGTCATGATGTTCTTATGAATTCTGAATTGTTAATTAAATCTCTCCCTTCAAGTCTGAATTCTTAATGGGTTGATACATTTTCAGGTTTTTCTATTCATAAATGTGAATATGAAGGCAACATTTTATTC